TGCAGATCGGAACCTCCTGCTAAAATGGCTATAATAGGTCAAACACGACAACTTGACATGAAGGACGTGTTGTCGTATCGCCTTGGCCCCACATCCTGGGCTTTAGCAAACCCTGAAGGTGCCTTGCGGAAGACAGGTCCTTCAGACATTCCTTCTCCACTTGGCCATAAATGGAAGGAAGTAGATGGCGAGTTAGTGATTAACTGGGGAGATGCACCACCCGCCGCTGAAGCTGTGATGCAATTAATTGCTTGCAACTGTCCAAGGGACCTCACAGAGGAGAGCTGTTCTTGCCTTCCGAACAAGATGAGGTGTACACATCTCTGCAAGCTGCAAACATGCAGTAACCAGCAGCAGGAGGATGAGGTAGATGACATGACTCAATTGGACGCATATGATGATGATGATGATGATGATGATGATGATGACAGTGCGTCCGATGTAGAGTAGACCTAATCATTCCAGACTAAACATTGCCCTTAGTCCCGAGCTTTTAATAGTGCAAAGGTTTCAATTCTTTACATTTTTTCCTTGGTACAGGCTGTGTGTGTCCGGAACATTTACATGCCTACAATACAAAAGGTTGAAAATGAAATATTGATCCCAGAGACTTTTAAAGGGCCGGGCATATTATAATGTAGTGGAATCTACAAGCTCATACAAGCACATATTTTTTGACAACCACCTTGGCCCTGGACCCTGATTTAAGCCTACATCTATGTAGTTCACCTACCTTTACCTACATTTTCTAGCAGGTATTTACATTTATTTTAAACTACATGTAATTAGTGATGATCATGATATTGTACATGTACGTTTTAGGTCTAAATTCTTTCAGAAAGATGTAAAAAATAAGGTTTCGCTAGTTAGCGGTAGGCCAATGACCTTGACCTTAACCACAGGTGACCTTGGTATGCCAAACTTCTATTAACTAGCTAGGAACTTATCTCCATATAGTAATTGACATTAGTATTGGTAATGTGTCAAATAATCCCAACAAATTACAAGCAGATTGACATCTTCCATTTTGTGCAATTTTCTGGTCCAAAAATGGCCGTTTTTGAAATGTATTAAACTACGTTTCATACTGTAGCTCAGAAATAAATAAAGTTCCCATTTCTAGGCATAAACTGGACTTGGATATGTTTTATCTTCCATTTGAGATCTAATTGGTGTGGTAACTGTGGTTGTTTATTTGGCAGATGGTCCGATTTTTCAAATTTCATGACCTTTTGACATCTGGTGACCTACATGATTAGCATATCAGCATATAACATATATCAGTCTGTAAGTAGGGAATACAATTTCCAACATTTTGAGTGGTGATCTGTAACAATTGGACAAATAGTTAAAAACATATTGAGTTTTTCATTTCCCCTACCCCCAGATTTTGGGTCCGAGGTCTGACGCGATCATCCACATTCAAGAGGACATTACTACCACTAAGCTGTGGATGCTGGGTTGGCCTCACAGTTTTTTTTCATCTACGGATATAGGCCTATCAAGAAAACATAGTGAGAATTTGCCACCACAGGTAGTACCAATCCATGAAATTTTGGGGTCTGGCTCATGGACTATATGCGCAGAAGGCAGATACGAGGAGATGGGGGGAATTAAGTGCATTCGGCCAGAACAAACACGGAACGAAGGTTTTTAGATACCCATCTCTCAGATTGACTCTCGCCCAAAGTACAACTTACTCATATCCGCTGATCTAAATACAACTGTATATATTTGTGTAAGCGTGCGTACGTGCGTGCGTTCCTACGAGCGTACGTGCGTGAGTTCCAGCGCGAACGTTCGTAACGTGAATCGCACGTGAAAGGAAGTCTATAGCTGAAAATCCGCGTTAGTTCCATGAATTACGCAAGAACGAATTTGAGTTTCGCATCGCAGGTAAAGAGCCGACTAAAAACCTTCGAATTACGCGTGGGCGGATTTGCGTAAAGCCCGTCCGATAGCAATGCGGGGTGATACTCCATTAGGAGTGTTCCCAACTTTAATGTCATTAATGGTCATAATAACATATATATAATATATAATATATATATATAATAATATAATTATATATAAGTATATAGGCCATGTGGCATATATTAGGTTTGCTGGTTTAGATGTCATTTAGGTAGGGGTTAGGTTAGGATTACAATCATTAATCATTAATCATTAATGATATCAAAGTTGGGAACACTCCTAATGGAGCGTTAGCCGTAATGCGGAGTACTGCTGTATAGCTTACAGCTCTACCTGTACTGTACCTACGACTGTGTTAGTGTTCGTACAACCACAACAAAAAACTTTGTTTTTCATGACTTTTTTAGGATTTTTGTCACGAGCTTATGCCTCTACGATAGTACATAAGCCGAGTACAACTTAACCACGTCGTATAGTTCAATTAACGTGTAGTGAACTAACTCTTGCCCCCGGCTTGTTTTTTTACGTATCAGGCAGCTACCAGGGCTGGATTCGCTAGTACTGGCTAACTACACAGTAGTAAGTTATTATACATCTTCACTATATGGAAACTTGAGCAGGGAACAGCAACAGCTCTACCCAAGCAAAATTTGAATCGTGCGTGTTTTCAAGAATATAGCAAAGTACGAAGGTTCTAAGACATTTTATCGTCACTCTAGACAGTTGCTGTTACTCAAGCAATTACGGTAAGTGTCGTAAAAGTGGGGAAAACACGAGACTGGTTGGAAATTATGTGCGAAATAAAAGCGTTAATGCCTCGAACCCTGCGAACCCAATACAAAATGTGTGTATTGAACTTAGTAATGTGTAGTTGTGTTATTTTTCCAACTAAACACTTTGGTAAGTACATACTCTATAATTTCAACGCGATTTTGTAAAGGAACTACGTGAAATTTGCGTCTGGCGTGACGTCACACGAGATGTTATTTCTCTGCCGCGGGCATGAAACATTGCAAATGCCAGATTCCGAATATGACATAAGACAGACAACTGGAACGACGTTTTTTTACTTTCGACAAAACGTAACGACATTTCCTTCGCTGACATAGGCGGAAAAAAACAAGAGATGGAAACGTCAACAGCTCTAGCTCTGACGTCAGAACACAGAAAACTAAAACGACGTTTTCTACTTTCTAACATAACGGAGAAAAAAGAAAAAGATTCAGTAAACAGACAACAGTTCTAGCTCTGACGTCAGAGCACAGAAACCTAAAACGACGTTTTCTACTTTCTACAATAACGGAGAAAAAAGAAAAACAGTTGATACTCTCAGAGATAACGACCAAAGACTCCGCAAAACAGACAATAGTTCTAGATCTAGCTCTGACGTCGGAACACAGAAAACTGAAACAACGTTTTCTACTCTCCAACACAAAGAACAAGACGCAGTAAACAGTTCTAGCGCTGATGTCAGAGCGAAATGCTGGAACGATGTTGACCTAGCTCCGACATCGCGCGAGATAGCGACGAGTGAAAGCTTTTTAGCAACACGAGTCCCATCTAGGTCGTTACACCTTGCCTCTAGCTATCTGAATAAACACATTCCACGCTGCTGCCGATAGTACAGAACTTACGAGCAATACACCAGATAAATTGTACGCACACACGCACGCACACACACACACATGCACACACGCCCTCACACACGCACGCATGCCCTCACACACGCACGCACGCCATCACACACGCACGCACACCATCACACATGCACGCATGCCCTCAAACACGCACGCACGCCTTCACACACGCACGCACGCCATCACACACGCACGCACACCCTCACACACGCACGCACGCCCTCACACACGCACGCACGCCCTCACACACGCACGCACGCCCTTACACACGCA